CAGGTTCAAGATACTGCAATGGGTACTAAAATGGCTCCCAATTATGTCAACATTTTTATGGGTCATATTGAAAACCAGCTTCTACAATTAAGCCCTGTATAACCTCATACATAGAAATGTTACGTAGATGACGTATGTTTCATTTGGACAGCTGGTCTTGAATCACTTAAAGAATTTATCTCACATACAAACTCCTTTCACCAAACAATCAAGTTTACCTGTGATTACTCGCCTATCCAGATGAATTTTCTTGATGCCACTGTTTTTCTAAAAGATGGAATTTTACACATTGACTTGTACAAAAAACCTACAGACAAACCACAATACCTTCACTATAAAAGCTGTCACCCCTCTCCATTACCTACAGTCAAGCTCTTAGAATAAAGAAAATATGCTCAGATGAAACAGACTACAGAAAACACACAAAGGATATAAAACAAACTATGCTACAAAGAGGATATAAAAATACCAAAATCAACAGATAAATTGAAAAGGCTAACAACACAGAAAAAGGCAGAAAAACATCCTAAATCAGAGCAATATTAAACTTTCAAATAGAATTTCTCTTATTATTACCTATCAGTTTAAACTCAGAAACGTTTCACGAATTGTGAAAAAAAAAACATTTTTATCTCCTACAACTGAACGATCACCTTAAACAGGTATTTCCTGAAGTTCCCATTGTCTCCTTCCGAAAAAGCAGAACTATAAAAGATATCCTTATTCACACAAAAGTGAATTACATCCCACCCAAAAATGTTTGTCGTCCATGTAATAAAGCCAATTGTCAAACCTGAAAGTTCATAAAGACCACTGACTCATTTTCTAACAAGCACCATCAAAGAAACTTTAAAATATCCAAGGAAATCAATTGTGAAACAAAAAAATATCATTTACCTTATACAGTGAAAAAAATGCAATTACCAATATGTAGGACATACACAAACAACTCTTAAAAAACGTTTCAACAACCATAAATCTTCTATTAACACCGAAAAAGATCTTCCTGTTGCTTAACACTTGAACCAACCCAGTCATTCCATTAGCCATGTCACTCTCATCGGCATTGAAACTAGATTCAAAACTAAAGCAAATAGAGAAATAAAAGAAGCTTATTGGATTGCTAATCTAAACACTGTTCAATCTTTTGGAATTAATCTACATCCTGGAATCAGTGATCTCGGTTCATTAGTTTCATCTCTGTCAGAAAAATAATTTTTATTCTTTGCATATTTTTTCATGCAATGTGAACGCTGAATTTTCTAAAACATACTATTTATTTAAGATATCAAGTATTTGTTTTGAATAGTCCATGTGCAAAGTGATTTTTGTATTAAGATTAAAAATACTTTTCTTCATCTCAAAAATCTCAAATTTTATTTGTGTAATCTCTAAAACCTTCTAACTACATTTCAAATATTTGTTTTCAGTAAACCTTTATATTTTATCTGTTATTTTTTCTACCTTAGCTCTATACTCGGTTGTTCAGTTTGACTGACCTCGTAACCACTGAAAAAACAAAATCGAAATAAATCTAAATTACCCTTTTTTCTTTCTAGAATGACTTCAAGTGTAACATGAAACTACATTTGTTTATCCTAAGTAGCTTTAAACTCATAACAGTATACATCTACTTATAATTAAATTTTATTGTTTTATTGCCCTTTGAATCATGTCTAACTACTATTTGTGCCATTAAAAGTTGTTGTAAGTCATGTGGAGAACATGCAGCTCACGGTATGCTATTGAATTACCTTACCCACGAGCTACTCGAAGCTGCTCACATGAAATATTATTATTATTTATTTTACCTAATCTAAACTTAACTAAGTCATCCCTATTTTTACATGTTAGTTACTTTTATAATAATAAATAAAGAATAAACAAGAAAACTAGAAATAAAGTACTTACCTGGGTATTCTTTTTTTTTTGTTGTCGACTATTGATGACACTTAACCCTACTTTTTTATACTAATGGAAGTAATGCACAAAATAACTTATATTTAATTAAATAATACACCAAAGAACAAAGAATAATAACTATGCTATTGAATTACCTTACCCACGAGCTACTCGAAGCTGCTCACATGCATGCCTCGTGAAATATTATTATTATTTATTTTACCTAATCTAAACTTAACTAAGACATCCCTATTTTTACATGTTAGTTACTTTTATAATAATAAATAAACAAGAAAACTAGAAATAAAGTACTTACCTGGGTATTCTTTTTTTTTTGTTGTCGACTATTGATGACACTTAACCCTACTTTTTTTATACTAATGGAAGTAATGCACAAAATAACTTATATTTAATTAAATAATACACCAAAGAACAAAGAATAATAACGTGACTATGCAACAAGAGCCATTACAAATTCATCCAAGCTAGTTATTACCTTTCTTGTGGGAACGAAGCCTTTACTACCAATGAAACTGATGATTATCTGTTCAGAACACAACGTAATATAATACATCATTTGATAGATGAAAACCTTGGCTTTCTATTGGTTATAGGTAATATATATAGAGAACTATTAACAAATTCTGAAAGAGAGGATGTGACAGGTGGGTGTGGCAACAAAACTGAACACTATAAAAATTATGGTTTTTATGAGCAATGACAATTTTATAGTGAGTAATTTACATTGAATTTTGTACTTTTTGGAAATGTGGTGGATAAAATAGACAAGAGAAAATACCTAGAGAAAATGTGTCATGTGTGTCACACTTGGGGAAATTGAGGATTTTTTTAAATATTGCCTTATAAGAGTTAAGAACTTAAAACTTATATACTATTAAAATATGAATTATTAGCTAAGATTTTATGCTATACTAGTTGGTATAACATAAACAAAAAGTAGTTTAATAACATTTTGAACGTAAGACACTAAAACCTTGTGTTATGCATAGAAAAGGATTCCCATGGCAAAAGGGTTAATGTACAATCATGAAACTTCTATTTACTATTATCAGTGAAACAATTTACATAGTACACTGTAAATTCATATAAATTCAAATAAACTTTCTGGCGAAAAATTCATTAACATCATACACTAACATGGTTATAAAAACATTCTGACAAAGAGAAATTAACATGTACAAAATATCACTTCATCACTTACTTTAGTAAGTAGATTTTTCAAATATTGGCATTGTTTAATCCTTTAACTCTTTACATACTGGTTTGCTTTTCTGCACATGTCAGGTTTTACTGAGTTACATTCAAAATTTAATTAAAGTACTTTATTATCATGGTATAATATTATGTAATTTTAAATTCTTAATTTGATAAGGCAATATTTAAAAAGATCCTCAATTTCCTCTGGTATGAGAAATGTGGCATTTGCTTTCTAGGTACCCCCTTTTTCTCTAATTTATCTACCACCTCTTCAAGAAGTATGAAATTTAATGTAAATTACTCATTATAACATTGTCATCACTTAAGTAAAGCATAATTTTTATAGACTACAATCTTATTTGGTTACGGAGCCATAAACTACAAAATCAGACCCCTCTTGCCACATCTTCTCTTTCATAGATTGCCAACAGATCTCCATAATATTTAACTCTCCCACTACCGGCTTAGAACCAGGGATTGACCTCGTAACTAATTTGTGCTTGTTATGGTTTTCATGCTGTAACTTTTAATACAGTAAGCGTATCTTCAGAAAATTGTGCAGAATATCAGTAAACATTAACAAGGCTTTCGTAAACAAAATATCAGATTTTTTATTAAGTTTTAAGATGTTTTTAAGCGATGATTTGTTCATGCATTTTTCTTTTCAAAGGTTGACTATCTAAGAATTTTAAAACTGCACATGCAAGGCTTTTCTAGCCTCCAGATAATTATCAAATGTTTTTTTTAGAAAAAACCTTATATTTTATCTGTTATTTTCACTCATGTATCTCTGTATGGGTTTGGACAATTCGACCAAACTCGTAACCACCAAAAAAAGTTGGAAATAGATATAAATTGTACTTTTCTCATTCTAGAATGACTAGAAATTATAACACAAAACCACATGTTTAGTCTAAATAGCTTAAATCTTATAACATTATACATATATAAAAATTTATCATTTTTATTTTTTGGATTTTTCAACCTTGTCTGACTAACATTACAGAAGTTAAATGATGCGGCGCACGTGCACATGTTACCATATCCAATAATATAAAACTGGTCTTTACATAATGACCTGTCTTGGCTGTGTTCTAGTAAACCAATATTTTGTAACATACAGTAACATTTCAGCTATAATACATTTATATATGTATATACATTATTACTATTTACATATAACTTCTTAAATTTCAGTTATTTTTCTTAAAACACAGAACAGTAAATAAAGCAGTATAGAAAACAATTATCTCTTCTAGTTACAGACTCTGTACTCATTTGATGCTTGCCATAAGTTGTAAGCCTTATCAAATTTTGCACATGGAAAATGTAAAACAAAATAATTATTTTGGGTTTTACATATGCATTTTGAAATAACAAAAAATTAAAAATTACTATATCAATACCAAAGAATTTCACTATAATTTACAGGGTTAGTAACTAAGCTGTATTTGGGTCTAAAAAAAGACCCATAGAGCTAAAATGAACAGCACTTGATCTGAGTGTCATGTTTCATGGAGATCGAGTGAGTGTAATTTCAGAAGTTTTATTTTACTGAAGCTGGCTAAGCTGAGAAGTTCATAATTTTTACATTTTGAGTTACTTTTGTTAAAAAATATATATAAAAACAGATTTTTAGCACATATTTGCACTCGAAGTAGATGTTCTAACACACACCTCATTGAGCCTTACAAGTTTGTGTGTCAAAATAAAATTAATGTATCTTTTAAATATGTACTTTAGAACACAAAAAATACATCAGTCACTAGAATAGAATGTATCAAAACTACTAAAAGTTACTGGGCTCTGTATGTAAACAACAAATACATTAAACAAATTAACAATCACACTAATATCAAAAATATATTATATATACTCACCATCTGGATCATATGTGGATATATTTCTCTTAGTGTTTTACCCAAATGATTCGTAGGATCTAATCCTTAAATATAAATATTTGTGTTAATGACTATAGGAAGCAAGAAGAACTGTGAAAAATATGAAAATTGTAACATTAGAAAAAACTGCAAATGCATTAATAATACAAAGCTCTCTTACTAAACTCTCCCTATCAACACAAATAGTACCTCATTCTGACTTACTACTATCAATATTTTACATCTGCAGTACATAATTTATGTTTATTACACTACAACAATCAATACTTCATTATACATTTCATAATGGGTGTAATACTTTACTATTCCATACATAATTATACATATTAATTGAAAACATACAATAAATATTCAACTATTACTAATCATTCCTTTTTTTCCTTTTCTTTCTCACAAATTACATGCTATGTAAGGAGGTTGAATTCAATAATTCCCTAATGTTGTGTGGGTTATACTTTTTCAGGTACTCACTTACTATTGTATATTTTATCAGATTTGCATTATAGTCTGTACCCCTAATTTTATTTGTCCATTACTTTAATTGCAACATTGTTTGTTTTTGATTTAGTTTTATGAAATTTTGGAGATATATAGATATGTCTCTGCATAAATTTATACATATATTTGTATTTATAAAATGACGTTTAATCACATCCATTTCATTTAAGCTTTTTTTTTTTATAAACAAGTTAGTAATTTACACACAAAAATACAGAAAATTTGTCATGTTTTCAAGATTTCTATAAAATGTGAGTGTAGTCCAAATTATGTGTTTAAGATTTCCAACAATACAACTATTTTTATAAAATAATATTTTTAATGCAATACAAGTTATTATTTTATGTTTTCAATAATGAAATGTTGTCTTACCCAGAGCAGCTACTTTGATTAGAATGGCTTCAACTTGACAATCAATCATTTCTTGTAGTAATTCTTCCTGATCTCGTTGCCACAGATATGCCAACATTGTCAATCCCAACCTGTCACATCTGTAGGAAGCAGCTTTATTGTCAAAAAGACAAGCCAGATTTTACCAAAATGACTGTCTTGTTTAATTCATGAGAATATTTTATGCAAACTTAGAATGTGAATATTACTATAAGTTTATACTTTAACTCTACTGACAAGACAGCAGTTAATTCCTTTGTAATGAATTACATATTCTACAATATTGAAATATTTGTTTGTTTGAAGTAATGCACAAAGCTACACAATGCTATCTGTGCTCTGCCCACCACGGTATCGAAACCCGGTTTCTAGCATAGTAAGTCCGCAGACATACCGCTGTGCCACTGGGGTGGGAGGACAGAGAAGAAAAGGCTCCAGTAAGAGTGCCGAAAATATCAAAATAAAAGTGTTTTAATATAGAGAAAAATCAGATTTTTTATTTACACTCGAAATTAACTGTCTTTCATAACCAAACTCTCAGCACTTTTTAAGCATTTGTTTTTACTTTGTTGGTTACAGGGCACTTAATGGCATCTGAGATGCACAAAATTTCAAAATAAAAATACCATCAATATTGCAATTAATCCCATTAATCACTGCTTGGATACCTTATATATTTTAATTTTTTTTTTTACTCAGTTTCATATACTGACTGATGTAATACATCAACCACACTAATAGTGAATGGTATAAAAAAAGTTGGTAGTTTGAGGATTAATGAAGCAACACCTGATACTCTTAAACTTACACATTCAAGGCTCGAACCCTCTGGTAGTTAGACATGATGGCTCCAACTGAAACTCCCTCAATTGGTACTTCTTTCTAATAGTGGTAGATAAAAAATAGCTTAATCAATTTTGTTTTATTACAGTTCAACTTAAAGTTTACAATGCCTGGAATCTCCTTAAACTTACATGTCCTCAGAATGAGCTATGAGGATAAAGTGTAAGCCATACATTTATATAAACTTACGATGCAATAAAAAATTAAGTTTATGTTCAAATCACAAATTCTAGGTTTCATTTTTATTTTAATTCATTGAAATACATTTGGGTAACATAATTAAAAACAACAGTAAAAGCTTAACTTTGGAAAGCTCTTTATCAGAACTCCATGGATAATAAAAAAGATTTTAAATAATCAAGTTATCAACAATATACTGACCTGATACACACTGACAGTTGACAACTTGAATATTTGCATGTTTATTATACTTTGCCAAATTGCTCAGCAAGTTATTTGTATGCATTCAACAAATATCTTATAATTGAGTCTACTACGTTTTATTAAAAGAAACAAAGTATTCAGTGTTGAACTTCATTTTAATAAAATAATACTAGTAAATGTGCAGAAACAAGATAATAAAATCATACTTGGTTTATAAAATGTAAGCTAAAAGGAAACATTAAATTTACTCTAGTAATCCTCAATAGACGTGGCACATGAAATTCTCTGAGGCAGGATTATAATAAATTAATCTATGAGACCTTTTTCCCTTTTTATTAGCTATATTTTTATGTGCCAGCAATACCAAGTGATTCATTTTGATTGCTCTTTAGGATCTCTACCAGCCTACCCTCAAATTGAAATTATTTTAGGCAAAATTACATTAATTAATATGTGAGACCTTGGGTGTTGTCAAGTATATCAATTGAAAGGGTTTGACCTCCTAAGTCCAAAACTGTAATTAGATCTCAAATCGGTCATGAAATGACAGAGCTATGAGCTAAAACTTTGTACTTTAAAAACTCAGAGCCATTCTATGAGCCTCTATGCTACGGCTAAGACCACATATAACTAATGTTTATAAAATTACTCAGTATTTGCATCAATTGCTTTTGTGAGGTCTGTTTAAACAGTGGAAACACAAAATTAGAAAAGCAGAGATGGATAGCAGGAGTAATAATAAGTATTAGTTTTAGAAGTTGACATCCAGACTTGCTTTTAGGTAGAATTACTTTGCTTTTTAGCTACAAACTTTTGAAATGGTTTACCTAATGATGAGGTGAATGCTATACATGCAAATTAATTTGAGCTTTGTTGAAAAAAAATAAATTTAGTTTAGTTAGCTGTAATTGTTTTAGAGGGAGAATACTGACATCCAACAACTTTCTCACATCTTGGACATTCTAATACTTGTTCACAGAGTTTACTCACAGACACATTAAAAACTAATTGTTTAGTTGTTCAGAATCTTAGAAGTTTTAACCTGGACAGTTGTTTGAAAGTAAAAGTTTTCATTTATAGCATGTTTTCTTCATTTTTCTTGCATGAAGTTTAGAGCTGGCCTTCAGCCAAATAGACTGTCGCCTAATATACTGTTATATTACATGTGTATATGCATCTACATAACAACTATGTTCACAAAAGCTAATTTCAATTTATGAAGAGTTCATAAAGAGACTTCAAAAGGAAATGCAGGACTTTCCAGGACTCTTACTAGAACCCAAATTTCTAGACTCTCAAATCCTAAAATATATTATGAAACTTGCATTTTCCTAGCATATTTGTTCATTAGATATGCCCACTATCAAAAATTATTCATAATGGCCAACATGAAAAGTAAACAAACCTGATTCCATTAACCAAACCTTTTTTTGTTTGCTTCTTTAATGTTTTTAAATTAAGTCAATTTCATCTGGACATTTCACTGAAACTGATGCTTCACTTTTCTATGACCATGTCTTAAAAACAGCCATTTTTTACAGGATAACCAGTGCTGAAGTTTTAAAGAGCTCATTTTACATGACTTTTCAGGATTTCACAAATCTGGCTATGAACACTGTTCATGGCATTTTATTACAGGCAAATATGTGAATCAATGAGTTAACTAAAAAACATAGCCCACCTTGACTAATTGTAACAGTTCGTGTAGATCCTCTACTTCATCTCCCTCCGTAGGGTCATAACACTTCCGTTGGTCTAGTGCTGTTCCTTTAATTTCTTTACGAAATAAAGGTATGCCCATAGCTTCTGCATAAAGGCCAATAGCTTGATGACCCACAGTTTGATACATGTAACTGTCTAGCTCATCTGTTAATAGATAAACAGGGAAAAAAGGTAATATTGTAATTGATGAAACATATAATTGAGTAATACAGAATAAAGAATTTTATGTTTTTAATAACTAAAACATTATCTTCACACCCATTAACTATAGTTCATTATCTCCATATAAGGAAAAAATAAGATGCAATTATATAATGTTATAAGCATATTCATGAAAATTCAGTAATTTTTGGTATCTGTTGTAAATTTTTATAAAATAATCCAAAATAACGAGCACTTTCATGAAATTATAGTAACATGAGTGTACTTTGTAATATGACAACTATTTTTCTATTATTTCAAATTCTGATATACAAATTTATTATAAACTTTTACTTTCTGTACTCAAGATTATTTTATTTGATACTTCTCAAATATTAGCAAAAGTTCAACACATAAGCGATATTCAATACTTAATTTATTGCAGTATATTCCATTATTGAAAACAAAATTTAATATAAACTCGTCAAATTAAGTTGGTTCATTAAAGATTAATCCATTTACTATTTATCAGCATATAAAAGACTTCTTTCTTTGAAATTATTTTATCTTTCACATCTTTTGCATTGCATTTTACTAAACAATAGTAATAGCACAATTTCCAAGTGGAATGAAAAAATAATATACAACATAATCATGAATTATCGATAACATGAAACCATACAATGGCATTGTAAACTTGATGTAGTCTAACAATTAACCCAAAAAGTTTAACCTTTATCATAATAATGGTTAGCAAGTCTGTTTTGTATAAGAATTTTAGCTTGCTTTCAAAATCTATGTAAATAGTATGCTCGTATTTGTCTATTCAGAACTTTTTGCAAATTTCTTGACCAAATGCTACAAATATCATATTGTTAGAATGGTCTTTGCCCAAGGAATCCAGATTGCACATTGGCTTTTAAATTCAGAATCATCATACTTGTTTTTTGCTTAGTCAAACTATTCAATGCAACGAGTATGGTACATGATGGCACAATGTCATTGTCATCATGATAAAAGTGATACAAAGTGATCATGATACAAATACAACTTAACCCACATGTAATTTCCTAAAAGAAAATGAACATTACAGTAAATACAATTTCTATTGGCTTTCTTGATCTATTTAGGTCTAAAATATGCACATGCAGTTCTTTCAAAACCACATTTACTTTACTTTGCAATAACTTAGCTTTGATTCATTGTATAGACTGCTATAAACACCTTTTAGCTATTTTTTTTCTTTTGTATGGGTTTTATTTTTCATTTTTTAGAGTGTCTTTGTTTCAACTCGTAAAACCGTGTCATACACTGAATGCTCATACTTGTTTCATACTCAGTACACTGTTATAAATACCACTACTATCATTTATTGTTTACTTTACATGTAGTTTTATTAAATAAAGTTATGGCTACATGAGCTTGTTTGTCTGATCATGTAAAATTTTTTCAAAGAGACCAAGATTTATCAATCTAACTCATAATGCCTGAAATTAAATAGCATGTGTGAAAATGATAGATTAAGGAAAATTCATGCGAAGGGCAATAAAACTACTGCAAATGTTTTGCGGGTCACGGCTAGTTAATTTCAATGTAGCATTTATGTTGAACAATAATTACAATATTTACTTTTCACAATTTACAAAATGAACTTTCTTGATGGTGACAATATTTTTGTGTATCACATGGTATACTGAATGCAGCATTGGTTCAGATTAGATGTTTGTGATGTCCAAATACCAAGTCTACAGTTTCTTACCAATTAGAACCTCGTATTACCGATATTGATAAGCTAGAATATAAAACAAGAACTTCCTATATTTTCTATTTGCTGAGACATCACTACGTTTGTTAAATCAAACACAGTGGCTCTGCCCACCTCTTTCCATTTTTGGAAATGCTTACATTCACCTA